CATCCCAGCTTTGCTGTTAGTCTGTTAAAATAAGACAATATGACTCAGTTACCTCCATCTTTCATGATATCAAATTATTCTGACATTCACATTTCATAATAAATCCAATTTAAAATGTTGGCGTGATGTCTGCAAAAAAACTAAAGCATATGTGTTTCTCTCATTGTTTTTATGAAATGACCATATAATTTGTAAAAACATCAAAAAAAGCAATAAAAAATACATCTGGTTGTGAAAAATGTTTAGAAAGTTTCATAGCACTCTGTAATGCATGTAGAAAAATAAAGCAGATCTGTTTATTTTTCAAATTTTTACTGTATTTTATTTCTAAAAACAACCAAAAGAAATCTCAGTACACAAAGTTGTGTAGAAAAGCAAGAAAACTGTCACTGAAAGAATATAAAATCTCTTCGTAAATTTACAGATTTTACAATAAATACAAATAAATCAAGAGATTAGTGTAATATATGCTGAAAAATAAAGCACATTGGTTTGTTGTTCTCCTTTTTTATGAATTTACCATCAAATTTGTAAAAACAACCAAAAAAACGTGATTGGAAGTGCAAAATGTTGATTGTTTGAAGCAAGAAACTATCAAGGACAATATAAAATCTATCAGCAAATAATTAACATTCAGATTTCACTATAAATACAAAGTTTCATAAGATATTAATGTAATATCTGCTGAGAAATGAAGCATGTTTATTTTTCTAGTTTTTTTGCGAATCCACCATCAAATTTGTTGTAAAAACACCCAAAATAACAAATAACATCTTTTAGAGCACAAAGTTGTGCAGAGAAGCAAGAAAATCATCAGAATAATTATTAGAAAAAAATGACAGTCATGTAAATATCTCAACTTTTCCAAACCCAAATTCAAATAAAAAAAAAAATCAAATAGTTTCTGGTGATCTCTTTTCAGAGAAAAAGTGCGATAGTTTTACAGGTTTGGACGTTTTCTCAGAAAATCCTTCAGGTTTCTCCAGGTAAACGGTGCCAGGTAGGCACCTGGTGCCTTCAAAGACTCAGCAGGAACGTCAGAAATCAGAGCTTCTCAGAAGCAGCTACTTCTTCAGGATCTGGTCGGAGAGCCAGTCCAGTCCCTCCACCAGACCGGCGCCGCTGACGACACAGGACGACTGGACGAACCACTGCAGGAACACACACCAGGTCAAAGGTCGCTCTCTTCCTAAGCGTCCACACACGTCCAAATTCTCTCTGATCATCACAGGAAGCACCTACCGGCTGCCGGACTCCTGATAGGCTGAGAGCCTCTGTGATGTCATCGACCGACATGACTCTGGGTAAGTCCTGTTTGTTAGCAAAAACCAGAACTGGAACGTCCCTCAGCTCATCCTCCTCCAGCTTCATGACAAACACAGAGTGACTGTATAAAAAGGCTGTGTGTTACTGTTTTAAAGGCAACGATGTGTAATGTCTTGATGCGCCCACCAGAGGGCGATCTAACAGATGTAACAGAGAGAGAGAGAGAGAGAGAGAGAGAGAGAGAGAGAGCCTGCTGACTGGCTTGTTATCTTCACAGTGATGTTCATTCATGACCAAAATAAGTTCTGTTTCGTTCTACTCTGGTTCATGTTATTGGGTTTACAGTAGCACTACATTTATCAGGATATTTAATTTGATTTAAAATTTGGAAATAATCTACTTTAAGACTGAGACGAGACCCACTCCAGAAGTTTCTGAACAGATAAAAAAAAAAAAAAAAAGTCTCAGTCCAAACCAGAGGGCAGCAACCCTTCTGACCCTAGGAGCCATTTGTATCTTTGGTTCAGCTAAACACATTTGTTTAGCTTTAGTGAGTTTTATGTTGCAAACAGAAACTCACCTGCATAAGAAGCGTTTCTGTGGCCTCTTTAATCCTCTCTGAATCGCTGCTGTCAACCACATAAATAAAACCCTGGAGACAAACACAGCAAATGTTAAACAAATATGACCTCATAGAAACACCTATTACACCCTGCTAGCCAGTGGGGGACTTCTTCTAATGCACTGATAGCGGCACTGATTTTTCATTTAGCACTTTTGCTAACTTTGAAAAAGTTTAACACACTTAGTTTACCCTAAATTAATTTTTCAGGATATAGTCCAAAGTAGTAATCTACTTTGCTGCTTTGTAAACTAAACAGAAAGTTTTGGTTCCTGAATGTTATGAACGTCAAAGTAGTTTGACGTTTATATTCATGCTCCTATTTTGAAGTGGGAGAAGGCCGTTTTACGAAGTCTTTCTGTTTCCTCTCATGTTCTCCACACATGAGCAAAGACAAAATGCCAGTTGACATCAGCGGTAACACTTCACAAGTAAGATGAGCATATCACAGTTTTTTACTTTGTGAATGGAATATTTATTTACTGTATTTATGTCCACTAGGACATAAGTAGTGGAAAATAGTAGCTTCTTCTTCCTACCTAGGGAAATGCTCACATTAGCTAGCATTTCATTGTTCGATGTAACAGTGGTGTCCAGCTGGCTTTGAAGCCAAACACTTTTCTCATGGATGCATCAAAGTGACTGAACTTTTCAACCAGAGGCTTCATAAGTACTTTGACACCTGCAGTAGTTGTACCTGCGTGTTGGCGTAGTAATGTCTCCACAGCGGTCTGGTCATGAGATGATAACCAATATCCCAAACTGTGAAACTGATGTTTCTGTGCTCCACCGTCTCCACGTTGAAACCTGAACAGGAAAACACATGCATGTGACTTTAAAACGCTGCGGTTCTTTTACTCTGAGGTGAGATAGGAAGAGGTCAGAGGTCAGAACCACTCACCGATGGTCGGGATGGTAGTGACCACGTTGCCCAGCTTGAGTTTGTACAGCAAAGTGGTTTTACCTGCACCATCCAGACCCACTGCAGACACAAACAGAGGAGAGCTGTCAGAACCAGAACCAGAGCTGAGTTCTGATACAGGGTGGTTTGTTTCCCACAGGTCCCCTAAATGTGCAGGTGTGTAACGGGTACCGCAGAGGCGACACCAAGTCGACAGATAAGTTTCCTGAAATACAGGTGAGAAAGATGAGACGGGACAACAGAGTGGCGTAACTTGTAGAATCTCTGCAATTATATTTATTAAACATTTAATTCAATCAATTATCCAATAAAACAAGCTTAAACTCTTAAATAATATTAAAATCAAATATTTCAAAATCAAAATACATCAGTCTCATATTCAATTCTCAGCTTAACAATGTCAAACTTAAATTCTCAGATTATATTAAACTCAAATTATTTAGATAAAACCAAAATACCCAAACATATTGTCTTTTAAAATAGAAAAGAAAATATAAAATAATATTAAATATATTACATAAATATATAATTATAAATATTAATATGTACAACATATTATTGACATATTTATATAAAATATATAATTTAATATATTAAATATAATATATACATGTATTATATATATTCAATGATAGTAAACACCTCAACCAAAATACATAAATCTGTACATAAAATACTATGTTACGTCTATTTAGAACTGTGAGGCCATTTCCCCACATCAGTTTAATATTCACAGAGTTCTATTAAACACTTTAACTTAAACTCAAAACATATGTACATCTAAATGAAGGTTCTCCCATCAGTCAGCATATTTAGCCAGTATAACGGTCTATTGTTACACCTGGGAGGGTGAGTAGCTCTATGTCGCTTCATTTCGACCTTAACATCAAACGTACAACGGTCGTCACACGTAACTAACGGCTGGCTAGCCAAATTAGTTAGTAGCAACTCTTACAAAATACAATAATAAAACCGCACCTTGCAACATGTAACCATCTGGCCAGAATAGTTGACACAAAGCGAAACTCGGTTTTATAAGTGGTTTTCCACCGGATAGTAACCAACCTGAAATACAGGTGAGAAAGATGAGACGGGACAACGGAGTGGGCAGCAATCCGTGTATGGTTCGGAGTTTCTGGGATCTCTGTGGTTATGAAGGAGTTCAGAGGAACACACAGAAAACCGCTGCGCCATGTCGCCCCCTGCTGGTTGGCTTATGCCACACCATTCTCACTAATCTCATGAGGATGTGAAACAAATTTTGTGCCTGTCACAGGCGCATAAATAACACTTAGTGGTGGATTTATAAAATACATAGATCCCACAATTTAACCGGAAGTGATTAAATTGACAAGCTGACAAGCGCAGCGTAAAGCATAGATGAACCAAGACCAACAAAAAGAAAATATATATGGACACTGTGTTGACCAACCAATGTGCAAGAGAACTGTAACAAAATGGCTGCTGTTGGGATGGACAGAGAATGGAAACATGTCAGACGATGTGGACAAGCTGCCTCCGATATATTTCACTACCTAGTGAACAGGAAGAGTGCGTACAACATGGAGGAGCTTCACGACCTGAAAGTTATGGACGCATACAATCAATGTTTAAACGGATTTGTAAAGAATGTACTAACTTCATGTGAATAACAAGGTTATGGTGACTGGCAGAGTAATTACGTGTAGTTACTTGGGCTGTAGCGATTCCTCGAATGATTCGAGAATATCGATTATTAAAATTCTTAGAGGAAAATTTATCTGCTTCGAAGCTTCATAAAATTATGTTTTAATTATTTAGCGCACTGTGTTCCAGCCGGGTGATTATATGTGTTGCGCAAGGCTCTCACTTCCGTCTCTGAGTTGTTGCTAAGTGGTAGCAGCAAATAAATCAAGATGTCCCAAAAGCATTGGCGGACTGGCACAGGGGTATTTCAGCAGAGACGTGCTGCGCAGCCCAGAAGTTCGCTCTTCATGCAGAAGGTAATATGAGGCCTTACACAGAATCAGGATTTAGCTCTGTCAGCAACAGAAACAGCAACATTAAACCTGTCGGGGAAAACATAAACTAAATTTGCTTTGCATTGTCCCCACATTATGACAATGATACAGTATGATCCGTTTAAATATTAGATTCTCCATTTATATTGGTTGTTGCTATGTTGTTGTACGGTATTTTAAGACACTGTTCAATATGCCCCTTTTTAACTTTGAGCCCCCGCCCCTCCAAAGGTCTCTGCACGGCCCTGCAAACCCGCACAAACTGTTAAATATAGAAAATACCAACCAGAATACTTTTTCCTCCATTGCTTCCTGGCGCCCTTCTCTGGCACAGCGCCCCTATAGCACTGTAAACACTGCTCACTCACTTTTATACATATATATATATATATATATATATATATATATATATATATATATATATATATAATCATTTCATAGTTGTCTTACCTATGTATTTTAATAGATTTTATATAATTTTTATTTTTTTGTGTGTGTGCAAAAAAACGGCATTTGTTTAAAAGGTGCTATACAGATAAAAGTATAAACTATGCTACCTCCTTTACCACCTGGACTTCAATGAAATCACAAAAGGGCCTATATTACAGATCTGTTACACTTAAAGTTAAATATTTCAACTCAACTGTATTTTGTATTTTTATTAATCATGGCTACGGATAATGAAAACTGTGTCTCAGAAAATTTAAATAATACAAAACTGTTTTGAAAGAGCATATTTAATGTATAAATATGTTATGGCCCACCGTATCTGCATTCCCAGAGTTTACCACAGTTTTACAGCCAGAATGACGTCACAATAACCACAAACTCACCCATTAGAATCCTGACGGGATTCTTGGAGGTGAAGATGGAGAGGATCTGTGAAATGATGGCTCCCATGACGGCGGTTCAGGTAGGGACTGTCCGGGTTGGGCTGCGGGTCTCCGAGATTGGCTATTTGCCGTGTTTCTTACAACACCGTGGGCGTGTTTCTCTTCTCCACGGCGTCATCTCAACAGCTGTCAGCACAATCCACGGTGGAAGGAAGCACGTAAACAAAACCTGGATCACTGGGAAACTCCGAGGCACCTCATGACCTCACTTCCGGGTTGCTTTCAAAATGTACTTTCAAAATAAAGGTACTCATCGTTTGACATCAAACATCACTAAACATATAATGATTTTAATTTATCTATTAATTTAATTATTTAATAAATAGTAAATTAATAATAGTAATTTATTTATTTATTTCTTAAAGTTTAGACCGGAGGTGTCCAAACTTAACTGTTTAGTTGAAAGCACATGGCGCAAAATAATTATATTTTTAAAATTTTTAAAGCAAACCCTTTGTTCCCCTTATTTTATATGTTCCGTAGTAAACAAAAAAATATACAACTTTATTGTCAAAGTCAATAAATTAGTTGAATCTTTGTAGTAAACTAAGCAGTGAATCATTGCAGATTGTGTCTGTATGTGACAAGACCAGTTTTTATTGTTTTTGTTTGTTTCTTTGTTTTTTGTTTGAGTTTTATTCACGCTGCAAGAATTGCTATTGATTAAAAAGCAGGTTATTCATTAAGGTTGTAGTTACTCCAAAATTTATATGAACAACAGAACTTTATTGATAAATGAGAATCTATTTGCAACTATTTCTAAAGATGTTCATCTGTAAAGAAGGTTGCCCAATACACATATATTAATATTCATTCTGATATCACTACGTTGTATTTGCTGTTTTCAGAACAGCTGAGTTCCAGATGAAAACATGGTTATAAAAGTTTGTTTATGATCCACTTATTACACAAAAAACAAAATTACTAGTTTTAGTCATTTTGAAAAATCAAATATTTTTTTTATGCAAAATACTGTGAGACAAGTTAGAAACCATGACTGACGCCTTCTGATTATCTACTTTAGTTGGAAGTATCATCTGAACAAACCACAAAACACATGAAAGAATAAAAACTTAAATTTGGTCAAAAATTTGACTTTTTAAATTTTATTTAAAAACTTTATTCTTTACAGTCATACTTGTGCAGTTAAGAGTCTGTCAAAATCATACGATAGGATTTAGCTGCTTCTGGCTTTTATTATATCAAATGATATCAACATTTAGATTTCACAATAAATACAGTTTCATAAAATATTTGTGTAATACCTGCAGAAAATTAAAGCACATTAAGGCATATTTGTCTCCTTTTTTGGTAAATTTACCACAAAAACTTCTTGTAAAAGCACCCAAAATAAACAGCTAGTGACTGGTAGTGTACAACGTTTTATGAAGAATCAAAAAATCATCAGGAATAACATAAAATCTTACAGCAATGATATCACAACGAATCCAAACCCAAGTAGTTTCTGGTGATCTCTTTTCAGAGAAAAAGTGCGATAGTTTTACAGGTTTAGACGTTTTCTCAGAAAATCCTTCAGGTTTCTCCAGGTAAACGGCGCCAGGTAGGCGCCTGGTGCCTTCAAAGACTCAGCAGGAACGTCAGAAATCAGAGCTTCTCAGCAGCAGCTACTTCTTCAGGATCTGGTCGGAGAGCCAGTCCAGTCCCTCCACCAGACCGGCGCCGCTGACGGCACAGGACGACTGGACGAACCACTGCAGGAACACACACCAGGTCAAAGGTCGCTCTCTACCTGTAATAGCCCTAAGCGTCCACATGAGACCGCCTGTCCAAATTCTCTCTGATCACCACAGGAAGTACCTACCGGCTGCTGGACTCCTGATAGGCTGAGAGCCTCTGTGATGTCACCAACCGGCATGGCTCTGGGTAAGTCCTGTTTGTTAGCAAAAACCAGAACTGGAACGTCCCTCAGCTCATCCTCCTCCAGCTGCAAGGCAAACACAGAGCAGGGATTAGAGTCTCAGATTACTGTAATCTGGCTTAATCTCTGGAAATTATTTCAAACTAACATTATTTTGAACAAGGTTTTTCCTTTCTTTAGTATTCTATAGCAATAGTAGATTACGTGTCCCTGCTGCATGATGCTGCCACCACCATGTGTCACGGCAGGAACAGAATTTCAATACAATCGTGTTTCTACTTTCAAATTGAGAAAAAACTTCTTGAGATGTTTTATAAAACAGATATTTAGGCTGGATTCCCACCAGCCCTGTTAAGTTTGCAGCCTGCTTGTCTGGTCAAAGTCTGGTCCGCTTGGGGAGATGTGAATGTGCAATCGGACCAAAAAAGGGAACTCTGGTCCACCTACAAATCTCGGACTGGGTTTGGTTGTAGTGAAATTTTTTGGGGTTCAAATGCAAATGTGAACGCCAGTGGACTGGAGACCGCGGCCCTAGCAGGAAGTGGACTGTAGCACAGAGCATTCTGGGCAAATACAACCAAAAAATATATGCTAACTGGCACTGGCAGGAGAAATGACTTATCCTTTACCACAGACGAAAGAGAAATCCTGCAACCACTAAAATCTAACGCCACTCCATTTTTATTTGCGTTTTGTGAAACAGGAAGTTGCACAAAAGCTGGACTGTCTCCTTCAGAGGATTTTGTGCTGTTTCCATCAGTGGTTCTTGGTGCAGTGCCCCCACAGGCGAGGAGGGGAACAGGTTGCTCAAAGGGTTTGGTTAGTTTGACACACTGGAGCAAGAAAGAGAACCACAATTGAACCCGTCTACCGACTACCAGATGGGAAAAACAAAATAATCTCAGTCCAGCCAGAGATTATTATTTTAGGGTGTAAAGGAGTCAACAGCCTTTAGACCCTAAGATACGTTTTTATCTTTGGTTCAGCTTTTGTTTAGATCTACAAGAGCAACTCTTCAAAATGAAAGATTTTGTTTTTCAATCTAAAGATATATAATTTTCATCTTAGTTAAAAAAAAAAATTTTAATAGAAAAGCACTTCAAAAAGCATGTAGTTTACAACCTGATGAAACTAAAGAATTACTTACATTATTAGTGTTATTCTATGTGGAAATATTATGAATATATTGTACTGAAAAACCCTCTACATTTTAAAACTTTGCTAAATTTCTTAGGTCAGTTATTTGTGCAAACGTCTCAACATGCACTGAGTTTATGTTGTGAACAGAAGCTCACCTGCCTGTGCAGCTCATCTGCAGCCTCTTTAATCCTCTCAGAGTCGCTGCTGTCAATCACAAAAATCAAACCCTGAAGACAAACAAACGGAAAATTAAGCAAAAATGGTTGCAACATTTATTGTATTAGAAAAATCAGCTTACTTAATTGTGATAAATGAAAATTTTCTACGGATGCGCTATGCATCAGCATTAACATTGATATCAGTTGATTTTTGTCATTTTTTAGCGATTGCTATCACTCCAGTAAGTTTAACAAGTTAATTTATTTCCATCTTGTTTTTATTTGTGTTTGAGTTTTCTGGTTATTTATTACTAACTAGTTTACATTAGTTTAATGTAACTAATAAACTGGTTACATTAGCAGCTAGTTTAATTAGTTACAATAAAGTAGTTACTAA